TTTAAATCAAAAAAAAAGCTGCACGTTGAAAATTATATACATTTACAAGATGCAGTTTCTAGCGACGCCAATGTAAACCCCAGAGATTTAGGTAAAATGGTAATTCTGCCCTCATCATTCGTTAACAGTCCCCGCTACCTACATGAGTACAGAAGACGCCGTTGTCTCTACGCCTATGTCCGAACTTACGGAAGACCTGATCTTTTTGTTACTTTTACTTGAAATCTCACATGGAAAGAAATAAGCGAGGAGCTGATTCCGGGCCAAAAAAAGTACTGACAGACACGATTTAGTTGCTAGAGTATTTAGATTAAAAGTACAAAAATTAATATATGTAATTAACAAAGGGAAAATTTTCGGAGAGGTGCAGTGCTTCATGTATTCAATTGAATGGCAAAAAAGAGGATTACCGCATGCCCATATTCTAATATGGCTTAAAGAGAAGTTGCGGCCCAGCCAAATAGACGACATAATAAGCGCCGAGATTCCGGATCCTGAGCAAGATAAAGAATTGTATGATACCATCGTCCGAAATATGATTCACGGTCCATGTGGAGCACGAAATTCAATATCACAATGCATGAAAGAAGGAAAATGTACAAAGAAATCCCCTAAACAGCTATTAAAAGAAACAGTGCACAATGACAATGGCTACCCTTTATACAGACGCAGAGCTCTCGAAGATGTTGGCAGGAAAGTTAAAATCAAATTTCGCTCTGGAGCGTTCGGAACCTTAGATAACAGCTGGATTGTCCCGTATTCGCCCATTCTATATAAAATGTTTAATGTCCACATTAATGTAGAAGCATGTAGCTCTGTCCGCGGAATCAAATACATCTGTAAGTACTTAAATAAAGGAAGCAACCAAGCAATATTTAATCTCTGGAGTGAAGGTGAGGCAAATCCCGTTAATGAAGTACAGACCTTTCAAGCAGGGCATTATGTCAGCAGTAATGAGGCAGCGTGGCATCTCCTTGGCTTCCCTTTACACGAAAGGTACCCAACAGTTACTCACTTTGCTGTGCACTGAGAAAATGGAGACCGTGTATATTTCACCGAAAGAAATTTCCAAGAAAGAATTGCATCACCGCCAAAAACTACACTAACAGCCTTCTTTCAACTTTGTCAAACCGACCCCTTTTTAACAACGTTTTTGTGTTATATTCTGAAGTCTCCCGCTATTATACTTGGAACACATCTAGGTAGGAGTGGAGACGCCTTATTCAAGGTGCGCCTGTTGCAAATTGGCCCCGTGTAAAGTCATCAGATGCCCTTGGTCGTGTGTATACCGTCCATGTAACTAATTTTGAATGTTTCTGTTTCCGATTGCTGCTGCACCATGTTCGGGGTCTTACAGGATATAAAGACCTTAAAACTGTCAACGGTCAGGAATGTGCAACTTATAGAGAAGCATGTGAAGCTCTGCATCTTTTAGAAAACGATAATCACTGGGATGAAACCATGGAGGAAGCTGTGCAGTGCCAGTCACCAGCCAAAATTAGGGATCTTTATGCAACTCTCATATCATCTTGCGGGCTATCTAATGCACATGAATTGTGGGACAAATATAAAGAGTACATGGCGGAAGATATTTTGCGAAGTTTACAGCAGACACACGCGAGCATGATATATATACATATACGCGAGCATATAATTAACACATTTATAATGAGGCACTTGGATAAATTGAAGATAAAGTAATGTTAATTATAGGCAAAAAATTAAGCGACTTTGGAATGATAAGCTCTCAGCAAACAACCGAAAATGAACTAAGTGGTCAAATTATACGTAAAACGAACTACCATATACCAGCTTTGCAGCAGCAAGTAGCCGAAATTGTACCCCGCTTGCTTCCCGAACAAAAACGACTTTTTGTCAAAGTATTAGGACAAATTGAATCTAGAAATGGTGCACTTTTTTTTTTGATGCCCCTGGAGGAACTGGGAAGACATTTTTGTTAAATTTATTATATAGCGCAAGTACGGAAAGATAAAAACATTGCTGTGGCCGTAGCTTCCTCCGGCATAGCCGCCACGCTGATAAGCGGGGAAATCTAGCCCAGGATGAATCGCCGATCTGCAACTTTAGCAAAAATAGTGCACGAGGTATAATGCTACGACAATAAACAATATTTAATATGGTCCATAAACAATAATTAAAAAAAGGTGAAGGTACTCCGGGTATAACAATGACATCGGGACGTCAGTCATCTCAGTCCCCCGTGACCATGGGTGCTGGAAAGCGCCCGAAACGTCGGGAATTAAAAATAATAGTAAAATAAACGCGATAAAATCCGTAAAAGTAGTTTTAATCAATGTGTAGTGTTCGCGTAAATATAAGAAATCATTAAGAAATCATTACTATAAAACTCAGTTTTATTTCAATTCAAAAAGATTCATTTTCATCAAGTTCATTTCCCAGTGACCATGCGGGTGAAGCCGTGGGTAACAGCTAGTAACCTATAAAAAAAGATAAGCAGTAGCGTCTTCGTAAAAACTTAAAATAAAAAACTGTGCTTAACATGAGGCTTGACAACCATGGCAACTATGACAGATATAGGAGATATGAGGCCGCCATGTATTGGGGACGCCTATGTTGTGGTGGACAGTGGACATTAGTAGGCTGTAACGGTATGGAGTAGTAACGGTATGGAGCAGTAACGGTATGGAGGAGTAACGGTATGGAGCAGTAACGGTATGGAGCAGTAACGGTATGGAGCAGTAACGGTATGGAGCAGTAACGCTATGGAGCAGTAACGGAATGGAGCAGTAACGGTATGGAGCAGTAACGGTATGGAGCAGTAACGGTATGGAGGAGTAACGGTATGGAGCAGTAACGGTATGGAGCAGTAACGGTATGGAGCAGTAACGGTATGGAGCAGTAACGGTATGGAGCAGTAACGGTATGGAGCAGTAACGCTATGGAGCAGTAACGGAATGGAGCAGTAACGGTATGGAGCAGTAACGGTATGGAGCAGTAAAGGTATGGAGCAGTAACGGTATGGAGCAGTAACGGAATGGAGCAGTAACGGTATGGAGCAGTAACGGTATGGAGCAGTAACGGTATGGAGGAGTAACGGTATGGAGCAGTAACGGTATGGAGCAGTAACGGTATGGAGCAGTAACGGTATGGAGCAGTAACGGTATGGAGCAGTAACGGTATGGAGCAGTAAGCCACCTGTGCTGCTCTAGCACATGATGGCTGATTTCTCTTCACATCGAAACATTTTCATTTCTTCGACAGCAGGTTTCCTCAGGTGACTTCTTCACCGGCAAGCACTTGAATTTGCAATTAACAATTTTATCGAACGCGGACTGCTCGTGTACTGTAAAATATAACCTGAGATTTGCCTCGATTCAGTTGACTACACTCAATTCATTTGAGCGTGCTATTAGAATATTCATTTTTACTTAACCTGTTTACAGCCAAATGTGGCTCTTGTAATGACACGTGCTTGGATATTTGCCAGAGCCAAGGCCTTAACAAATGCAGCGCTGGAATATGTTTTCCATTTAGAAATTTCGATTTGGCAAATGCGCTGTAACAGTATAAACTTTAATCCTCTTTACTTGTAAGTTTACAACTTTAAAATTTTGTTTTCTTGTACGCTAATATAATATAAAGATAAAATTTCTGAGTTCGTGAGTTTAGATCTTCTATAATCTTTCAATCTTCTGAACCGATTCTAAAAATTCTTACACGAATAACAGGTTAAATGATGCTCCCTGAAGGCTATAGGCACAGTTTAAAGAGATATATCTTATTTTAGTAAGAGACAGCTGAACTGGGTACGTAACGCAAATATGAGTCTCTGAGAGATGACTACATATTTGTGCCATTTCCTGTAGGAACTATCGGCCCGTGGGTTCCACGTGCGGTAAGTTTCCTACGGAACTGTATCCGCGACTGGTCATCGCTACTGGTGATAAGAGGGCTGGTTACTATGGAATAAGCTAGAAAGATGTGGCTTCCGATAGATGGCGGTATAATGAATTATAAAGATGGCTTTTTAGGCTAAGTGTAAAATACTCAGATCATCGACAAGAGCTATGACCAATGTCCAGCAGTAGACTTCTACAAGGTGATGATGATGAACGAGAAGAAGTATAATCAGTGCAAGGGTGCTTCTGTGCCTGCACCTACACAACATGATGTATAAGGAAAATCATTCGAGAAGATTTTTACTAGCTAGTGTGTTCTATTCTTAACTTAGTAGAGCCACACTGCATCTATGTTATAATCGTTGCAGACTTAATGGGTCGGGTCGACCGGGGAGGACCATAGTCTCACAGAACACCAGCGTAAAATAACAGCTCAATGAGTCTGTGTTTCGTATGATAATGCAGAGAACCGGATATCCTTCTTTCTGGTAAATAAAAATCTTAATCCTGTCAGTGCTGAGGATCTACATTTTGATTCTTAACCGAAAAAGATGTGTCTATTTTCCACAAGTGCCACCTACCAACAGATGGACTGTGTGCTAATTTGATATTCTATTCTATACAAAAATGTATGTTCAAAAGTGGAACTGAAAGAAAAATTTCCGGAGATCCTTTTTACTTTAAAAGAGGTATTCCATCTTAGTCCTCAAGGCTGACAACGCATCTGCATTTTGATTCGTAATCGAGGATAGATGTAGATGTCTAGGGGCCACAGCAACCACTTCCCATCAGGTGGATTGTGTGCTGGCTTGTCATCTTGTTCCTATAAAAAAGAACTCACTGAGCGGACGGCGCTCTCACGGACTACCAGTATAGATCGTAACATAATGATGCTGTGTTCATCACGGTTTGTAGTAAACTGGAGACGCTTTTTACTGGTAACGAGGTATTTCATCTTACCTCTCAGGGGTGACGACGCATCGTCATAGAAAAAGAATATAATGGTAGATGTAGGTGTCTTTAGCCAACTGTAAACATGTACTGTATAAACTGTGTGCTCGTTTATCACTGTGTGTTATTTGTACTTTTAAACTTTTAAGCTTTTTTTTTTGTCAATAGGGTACAAATTCGCAAGGAACTCGGAGAGGTTGGAAAGCTATACAAGCCTGGTGTATAGCCTGGTGGCACTCTGGACGAGAAGATCTTGAGGACACGGAAGCAGAGGAAGAACCGTCAGACGCTGGATATGCAACGCCAGTGTCTGTGGAAACGCCTCTGCAAAGTTCTGTGTCCAGGTGAGGTAACGGTTAATAGAAATACCAAAGTTTTATATAAAAGGTTATTTCTTTAACAAGTATTATTTTTAAACACATTATGGGCTTAGTTTGTTTGAAGATAAGAAACCTAATTAGTGTAAGGTTCGGCAACATTACTTCTGATTCAAATCTCAGATTTAGCCATAATCAGTTCTCAGTAGCCAGCTTGAAGTCCGGAAGTTGACGGCGATGGTACTTGGGTTGAACGTTGGTCCTGGGCTTAATCTGTTTTTTAAAAAAAAATATAATGCACTTGTGCTTGGTTAACCTGCGTTGAGATTTTTAACGTCATCAAAGCTTGGAGGACTTACCTAACATAATTTTGATGATAAAAAGTCAATATACGTCGCTATCAAAACACATTTTTCGGTTTCATCACCACTAACAGAAACTGTTTATCTCTATATGTCTGGATAATGTGGATGACCTTTTTTACCGTCTGGAAAAAATAGGGTGTAACATGTGAACGGAGTAGAAGCCTTATATTAAGCACTTATATTCTACAAAATCTAAAAACAAACATTTTGAATTAAATAAATTAATTAATTAAAATCTATCGAAATTTAAATCATATCCACCCTACTTTACGAATGGCAATAAAACAATAAATTTAGTAGGCATCTTTGACCTTGTCACTTCTCAGGGTCAGAGGCTCAAGGGAAAAGGGTAGAGTAATTGTTCAAAACATTTTTTCAAACATTTAATTTAAAAAAATATTTTTATTTTTTCTAAAATATGAGTGCTGTAGGCTTCTAATCCGTTCACGTGTAACACCTTACTTTTTTCCAGACGGTAAAAAGGTCACCAGTATATTGTGTCTTTTTTTTTCGATTACAACAAATGGTTTATTCGGTAGTAATTTAGTTATTTCATTTATATTTAAACGTATTATTGCATTAGTTTTAAAGTTAACAAAAGCAAGGACTTAATTCCATTCGTTATTCTCTGCCAGTCACTCTATGGAGTGGCGAATAGATACCGTAAAGAAATGTTATGGGTAATGGATTCTATCTGCTGCGAGGCGGTGAATAATTATTACTGTTAGGTATACTTAGTTCAATCCATCTTTTCAGGTGTACATCGCTTAACGTTATCAGGGATCCGTTCGCAGCCCGCGGTGGCTCCGGTGGTTCGACCACCGGCGACGGAGGCACGTCACCTCTTCGTAGAAACTTCGAGAATCCTACAGCTCCCATACCAGCAGCAAGAGACAGCCGCTCACTCCCTCCTAACACCAGAATCAACACTGCTACATCACCAGCTCCTAAATCAGCATCAGCTGATTCAGTGTACACTATCCTCATAAGATTACCAGATGCGGATACGGAGAGACCTAGCATCAAAATGATAACTGAAGAGTCACCACCGTCTAATGCGAGAACCCAATATCGACCACCAACTAGGGGTGATTCTGAATTCAACCTTCACCCGGGTGGTCATACTGCATTGACAAGAAGGACATCACATATACAGGATGTTAGAATTCCTCTTAACGCTAAAATAATTCCCAAACAGCTGGCTGGTAAGGGAATCACTTCAAAGCAACCAAAAAAGAAGAAGACTCAGGAAAAGAAACAAGAGACAAAAGCGGCTAAAACTTTATCCGCTATTCTCTTATCCTTCATCATAACCTGGACGCCTTACAATATTCTCGTGCTATTAAAACCTCTTACAGCGTGCACTAAGTGTATTCCAGACGAACTTTGGTCTTTCTTTTACGCTCTATGCTATATTAATTCTACTATAAATCCAGTCTGTTACGCTCTGTGTAACGCAACATTTAGAAGAACGTATGTCAGGATTTTAACTTGTAAATGGCACAACAGGAATCGTGAAGCTATGACTAGAGGCATGTACAACTGAATTTAAAAAAAAATTAAATGGCGCTTTAAAAAATATTATTTTTAAAGTTTTGTACCAAAATTCAATTGCCCAATTTTGGTACTTGGTAGGAGACATATAAGCAAATTTTGGGAGTAAATCGAAAAGTCGTGTGTGATTTTAAAATTTACTTACCAATTAATAATTTTAGATAACATGTATCTTAAATTTATATTTTTTTTTGTCTTTTTAAATTAACGATGCAAGAATTATATACTGGATTAGTGACAGCGTTTGCATACATTCTTATTAAAGTATTTTCTGTTTAAATTTAAACGAAGCATTTTGTTGTTAGAATAATAAAAATACAATCATCACTTCAATTTGGTCAAATATGTACTGATAAATTTTTCGTTTATATAATAAATTTAATTAATATATACCATTTTTTCACGTATTAATTAAATGAGGTGTTCCTAAAGCAACGATTGAAAACTGCTTGTAAGAGCGATTTTAAATTGGTTTTAAAGCTTTTTATGGTTTTTATAGTTTTTTTTTCATAAAAAACCATTGCTTTCACCCACCAAAGTAACCTGACAGACATTCCAACTTTCGTTAGTGATTTACTCGTCCCGTCCATTATTAGAATCATTATTTGTAGTTTTGTAACCTTTTGTGATATGCCTCGTTATAGGTTCGTTTTATTCTTTTTAATTCACCAGTCTTCTGTTGTAAGAAGATCGTTGTTAAATGCTAAACATAAAACAAATTTAAAATGCCAAGGTAATTTAAGAATTATTTAGATTGTATTTTAAAAATGGAAATGGTATATAAGTAATGGAAAATTCTAGTAATTAATTTTAGTAAATACCTTTTTCTCTAGTGAGATATTTCCATTATTCTGATAAAGTGTGAGCTTTTAGAATTAATATTTTCGAACTTAGATCATGTTTCGATTTTTTTTACATTGAGCTAGTTTTGAAATTATTTTTGTTTATAACTTCATCCCGGGCAATTGGATGCAACAGATTCTGTTTTGTAGTCCAAAATTGATGTACTACCTGTGCGGTTAAAGAATGGGATTGAAATGGCGTTGCCTCTATTAACCTCTTGCTCGCACACTGTCGCTATCTATACTCACACCCACCGATAAAGACTGCAAAAAAAATACGTTGCGATATGCATTTTTCATACGTTCTGTAACTTCGGTCCAATTTGTCATTGGAATCAATCATAACAAAATGACATAAACTACATAAGATAATTCCGGTTTTGCTAATTGTTGGTTTTGTTTGTTAGTTTTTTTTTTGTATAATATAATATATTTACACGCCATTCAAAGATGAGCAACCATTTTTAAAATTTTTGTTTGTCTGTCTGTCCGAGCTAATCTTTGGAGTGGTTGAAGCAATTATAATAAAATTTCACGAACATGGAGAAGGAGGAGGAGGAACTAGGAGTGATTTACCCAAAAAATATCGAAAAAATTTAGAGATTTTATTAAAATAGAAATATTGATAAGATAAAATAAATGGTATTTAATGATTATCTTAAGTCTAAATAACGCTAAATTAATAGATCCCACCCAGGCGAAGCCAGAGCGGATCGCTAGTTACAAATGTTATTTTAAAATTATTGTATTTACTTGGGTATACAATTCTTCCCAAATATTTTCCTATTATTAGAAATTTTCTAATGAACGGAATAATATAACGTTATAACGATATACCGTTATTAAAGGGTTTTCGCTATTGGTATTGCGCATGTTGACGGTACGGGCTCGATGAGTCGCCATTTCTAATCCCATTCTTTATCCGGCTGTACAGATAAAATATAATCTTTAAGATTCATTCATCCATTATCGGGTTTTCCTAAAATATTTTGTATATTAAATAAAACGGTGATATTTCTTAGTTCTTAATTTTATTTCAGTAAAATTGATAAAAGTAGTGCAGTGACCAAAGCTTAAACTAAAATAATGTAACATAGAATTAGAATTAATTTAAATAATTATTGACGTTTTAATTTAAGAGTCTTCAAGAGAGAAATGTGAGCCTTGGTTTTTCAAACTCTATGTGTATTTGTCTTGTGCCAATTCGTGTATTTCGTATTTGTAAAAGAAAAGCAATACATGAACAATCTCGTATGGGAATTTTATAATTAAAATAATTATGAATGGTAATGATTAAATAAGCATTTTGAATAATCGAATCACTCTTAATTTACGCTCATGTTATTTATAATAACTTTTTCTGTACAATCGAATAGATAGAAATTATATAATAAATATTTATTATAATACAACGATTACAAATTTTCTAGATGTGATTGCCTTTGCAATGTCTTTCTCACTTTTTAAAACATTTGTTTGTATCAATGCACACAATTAAATTTTCAATCGATATTCTCTTCACTCTCGTGGGGTCACTATTATGACTTTTAAAAATCTGATTGCGTGAAGCTGTAGCATTTATATGTAAATGGCCGTGTAATATTAGTCGAATTGACACAAAATAACGACTTTCTATAAATAAAATGTTATAATTTATGCAATCGACCATAATAAAAACTAAAAATAATAATAAGATATTCTTATTATTTAAGTGAAAATATCAATTCTAAATATATGAATGAAAATCCATTTTACGTAAGTCGATCTGAAAAAATAAGTTCTATATAAAAGATGGCAATACAATATATTTTGTCATAAAATCATTATATTACCTAAATTACTTCATTTACAGATAATAGGAATATTATGTTAATGCAAAATTATTAATGCAGAAGAATTTAAAATCAACCTGTATATATCCAAATTAGACTGTCTCACTTCATGACAGCTTTTATAAACGACCTGTATAAATAAAACCAAAGACATTGTAAATATATTATTACTCTTGATTATATTCATAAGTTTATAATATTTGTATTGACGTTATGTATTAGTGAAATACTATTTAAATATTTCTTATATACTACAAAATATATGTATAAGAATTTATGTAACGTATTCATAATATGCACATCTGAACTCTATATGTCGTACAACGTTCCTTTGATGTAAATAAGGTTGATTAAACAATTTATTAAAAAATATATATGTGTAGAGACATAGAATTATTGTAATGATATATCAAAGATAAAATATTTTAAGCCCTAGACTTTGTGAAGTATATAAAATGGTGAATTGCGCATTTTCAAATGTATTTCATAATAATTTTCCCATTTCTTACTTAAAATATCAATTTTTTTTTAAATTACGTTTTCGACAAATATAATAATACTGATTTGTATAATATGAAGTATAAGTAACAAAATTTGCTAGATGGAATATACAAATTTTGTACTTGTAATTTCATAAAATATTATTCTTTGTATTATTCTTTTCAAATTAAAATATTTCTTAATACCCTAGTATAATAATTAAGGGATATAAAAAATAATCGGTGATTTTCAACAAGCTGTAACTACGCGGCAAATGATTGTGCAGCAAATAAAAAGCAAATTGTAGCGCCAAGTGTTTTCATGGTGCCTCATGGGGAATATCATCCACTTTTCCAAACCCTACTTCAATTTCCTATACAATCATAATGATTCGATGAAAAAAATTTTTTTCGGTAGTTTCTTTAGGATCACTCCAGAATTGATCTGAAAACGAGACACTTGGAGATACAAGTTCATTTTTTTTTCTTTTTTTTTTTTTTGCTGTGCGATTATATTCTTCGAAGCTACAGCTCGTTGAAAATCACCCGAAAATTTTGAAATTTTCTTATATCCCTTAATTCTGTTACTTGTCTAAATATCATCACTATAATTTGTAAATGCGTGATTCTATTCTATATTCTATTCACTACACCCATGTAGTAACAGCCAAAATTATTACAAATCACAATTAGACTTCATATATTTACTCAAATATTATATATCCTTGTAGCGTTGTGCTACTTCATCCCTCCCCCCTCTTCTTCTAATAAACTATAACTTTATATAATTTTATAGAGAGCTTGTGCACTGGCGCTTCCGGCATGATAGTCAACATTATTAGACTTCACTTTAATTACATTTGTCATATTAAAAGTTAAAGTTACTCCCACTGCTGGGCACGGGCCTCCCCTCATTTATAAAAGGGTTTTAGGGTAAAGAAGAGTCCGCCGTGCTACCCTAATGCGTGTTGGCGAACTTCACATGTCTTCGAAATATTTTTTTTATTATTTCTCAGATGTGCAGGGTTTCTCGCGATGTTTTCCATTACCACCGAGCACCTGGTAAATCAGCACTTAAAATTGGGCAGCTACCTGGGTTGCCCGCGTACTGTGAACTTTACAGTGAGCGTTAACCACCGAGCCACTATGGATCCATTTGTCATAATAGTAACTAGAAAGTAGCTTTCACTATTATATTTGTTTAAGTCAGAATGACAAGAAATATTACAGTCGATATAAGATAGGCTGTTACTGCAGGCCATTAATATCTGAAGACAACCATAGTTAAGAAGGCTTAATAAAGCCACGGATACTTATCACTGAGTACTAAAATGAAGTACCTCGGTTTACAGAAGTAAGGGTCCCTCATTTCTGTACGAGTACACAATCCATTTTATTATAGCCATATGCCGTGGCTAACGTGCATTTTTATTTTTAACTGCCTGACGTCTATTAGTCACAGCATCCATTTACCATTAGGTGGACTTTGTGCTTATTTTTCACACGATATCTATAAACGAACACATTTTATTCCTCAAACTAGCAGGTCTCTTCACGAAGTTTTTCTTCACCGCTGAATGTAATCGGTACTCATAATTGTAAAAACCCTTTCATTGGTGCCAGCAGAAATCGAACTGTGAACTTATAAAAGCCAGTGCTTGATCACAATCCCACCTGGTGGCAAGTGATGATGAAACCCTAAATGGTAAATCACACTGTCTTAGATGGAAAGACAGGCGCCGGTAAATTACTCTACTCCTTTCTTACGTACAATCAAATTACAAGTGAGTGCTCTCCTCCGATTTACCACGGTTTTAGCTTATAAAACAGTGTTTATAT